TGCGATTAACAGAGACTCTAGGAGCAATATATACAGAAGCAATACAAAGGCTCTTACCTTTAATGGTAGCCTGACATGCGACAACTTCAATACCGGGGAATTCGGGAAGATTCACTCTATAGAAGGAATGGCACTTTTTGATCCCCAAAAGTACCCCTCCTCCACGTGAATCCTCACGATCCAATCGAATAATGTTAAAATCAAAAAAAGGGAGATCAATTTCTGAAGAGAGCCATGTTTCACAGAGGGCAAATGCATCGCAATTATTGTTATGGACTAAATACTTGAACGAATCTAATTTCGGAATAAGACTTCGACAATTCCACTGTAGAACAGTGATCAAATCCCCGACCTCGTTTGGAAAATTATCCATCGAAGGAGATGATAGCTGCAAGAAGGGGCCATTTTGAAGTCAATTGCTTCAAGAAGGATTTCACAGTCGGAAGCAATGTGAGGACAATGCTTTTCAGAGGATCAGAAATGTTGAGGTATTTGAGAATACCGTCCACAATGTCATCAAATGAGAACAGCCCAGATGAAGAAGGGGTTTCTGTTCTTAAAATTGGGGCATCAGGGGTTTTGGATGTCCCCGGAAGAGGTGGAAAATCCTGGGTATAATCAGTTCTGCGGAATCCAGGAGGAGTAGAAGTCTCCTTTTTTCCACCACTCCTTGATTTGGGCAAGCTGATTTGGGGTTCTTGATCTGCAACTTTCCGCGAACGGATGCGTTTTCGTTTCCGGGCAGAACCTTCCGGAAAACTGAAAGAAACTCCCTCCTCAGCCAAGTCAGAGCCAGACTCGTCATCTGACAAAAGAGAAAAGGGATTTGTTTCGTTGGTCGATGGCTTGGCTGTCTTAAGCATTTCTGCAAAAGACCGCCTGGAACGTTCCTTAAGGGAGCGTTTCATTTTGTCCCCGAGCTGTTTGTACGCCGGGCACGACGAGAGAGCATGAGGAGGAGTTCCATTGCAGTACACGCATTTTGGTGCAGTAGCTGCGCAGGCAGTTCCGTAGAAACTAGATCGTTGCTATCCATATACTCGTTGAACTCTGCATCAATTATTTGGACGATTCGTTTCACTGTATTTTCCATCAGCGCCTGGAGTTTCACTCTTATTTTCAATGCACTTTCTTCGATGAATTCACTAGGAGGGGCGCATATTATATATATTTCACTGCTCCGATCACATAGTAAGGTGGAAATCTTGAAGGTGATTCACTATGTATTACTTCGTATTGAAATCTACTCAATCCAGCCTCGATAAGTACACTAAAAGCCTCTTCTGGTGACATCATTCCTCGTTGATCAGTTAGTTGAGCCAGCATAGTTTTAGAGGTTTTTTGGTTTTTTTTAAATATGTCCAATAACTTTAACTAAATTAAAATCCTTTCGATTATAAGCGGTCCGTCTTGCAAATAACAAAGCTTTCTCGATGGTATCGAATTTTGGATCAACTGCTTCTTTATCGATGACGCGACGTTTTCCTCTTTCACTCAAATCCAAGAAAGGTTTTGAAGGTCATCCACGTTTTGTTCCCGAGGTTGAGGCAACACATTGCTCCTGTTCGATGAATTCCTCGATGCCAAATTCTCCATCAAGCCAATTCCGAAAATACGACTCAAATCGCTCTTTCGTGCGATTAGCTTCATGCCATTTGTTGATGTATTTAGTAGCGATTTTATGGATCTTTTCATCGAGACGTTTACGTTTTTCCACCGAGATGTTATAATTTTCACAAATGAATTCAATGGCTCTGTGAACATTGTCACTATGGCTTAATTTTGTGTCTAATAGATTAATAATGGTTCTATTATCCATGCTCACACTTGGTCTCAACCGCAAATTTGAATTACACTGTAGTAGTTTAAATAAAAGCTACACAAAATACACTATGGCTTCAAATTGACACTACAGTAGGTTAAGTACAGACTTAGGTATAAATTAAACTCACATACTTACGCATATGCTTCTATAATCGTCATAACCCAGGTACTTACTTTAGAATAAAGCATAAACGAATGTAGTTTTACGCTCATCCAACAGTGAACTTTATGATAATGATGATACTTCTTTTTGTACAAAAGCTTAAGCCCTTTTTAAAAGTTGGTCATGAAATATTAGAAAATGTTCTTTAACAGTATATTTCGACTATACCAACCGAATATAACTCCAAAAGTTGCAAAATAATTGTTGAAAAAGTTTGTTTCCAAGCCGGCTCTTGTACAATTTGAAATCTCCTATAATAACCGAAAATTTTCAAATCGCTTATATTTCCAATGGGGCAGGTTGGGGCAGGCAAACTCTTCAGTACTTGTTAGAGTACACACAAAACTTCATCCAGAGCTGAGAATTAGCCTGGGAATGTGCGAGACTCGAAAGTTTGTGATCAATAAAGTTAAATTTTCTTTAATTTTCAATCATTTTTTTTCTATTTTTATTTTTAAATTTTTTTGTCTCTATCAAATTTCCAAATGGATTTTATTTTCGGAAAGTTTATTAAATTACCTTTCCAACGATGTATAATGATGTGATAATAGTGAATGAAATTTTATTTGAGTGATAGTGTATTTTTGCGGCAAAATTTGTACTTTTCTTACTCTTTTTTGACTTCGACATCTGATATCTCAGAAACTAAAACTGCTAGAAGCTTGAAACTTTCAGATTCTTTTAGTTGAAATGTACTATCGATCAAAAATAACAAAATAAGGATTAGTGAAAGTCGATTTTTTGATTTTTGACCGCCTGATATCTGATAGTGCGAAGGGGCGAGCGTAAGAGCTCTATCCCAGGAGACAGTGGTCGAGTGAGGGTATCTGGACGATATCACTACAGAAGAGGAGTTGATAAGTGCGTTGAGAGTGCACTGCGATCTGGGAGACGTCCCGGTATCAATCCGGATGAGGAAGGCGTACGGCGGCATGCAAACGGTGGTGATTCGGCTTTCTACAGTTGCAGCGAATAAGCTGTTGGAGATGGGCAAGGTCAAGGTTGGGTGGTCAGTAGACTGATGCAAAATTTGCAGCTACTACTTTGCGCAATATTGTTTTTCAGCCAAGCATCAAATTAAAAAGTTATTAATTGTTTAAGAGATGATAATCTTATGGCATGATCAAGCAACTGTTTTGTGGGCAACACTGTATTCTGCAGTGTGACATAGTAGCCATGATGTTTACGCTCTATTATACGCGCCAGAAACACCAATGTTGCCTGCTGATCAGTTGATTGAACATAATCATAAGACAATAATTGATCCTAACATTTTATCGAAAATGGTTTTGAACAAAGTTGTAGCTGTGAAAATTTACTACAAGTACAGCTATCCATTTTTACAGCAGAGTAATAGGGTAATTATTAGAAAGATATGAATACAAAATTTGGTTTTCCCAAAGTAACTTTCATATAAACTTCATATGGTTTGTGCCAAGTCAGTGACTTCAAATTTCGGAAGGCTAATCAGGAACCAAATTGGAACCGATTGAACATTGTGGAATAAAAATTTCAAATTTTGCATCAGTCTAGTGGTCAGTGTGCTCGATGAAAGCCACTCCTCGGGTCTCCAAGCAACTGGAACGAAACTTCAAGTGCATGGGTTTCGGTCACCAGGCGAGCAACTGCAATGGCCCTGACAGATCTGATCTGTGCAGGAAATGTGAGGAGATATGTAACATTTCAAATGTCACAGTACAAAAAAGAGGACGGAAACGATCATACCACGGGAGGCTTCAAATGCCTAAGGCGATGGCAGCCCAAAAGTAATGGAGGTAAACCAAATAAACTTCAATCAGCAACCTGTTGTGGCAGTCGAAAACAGAAACAAAGTGCGACGTTGACATCATTATGGAGCCGTATCGAGTCCCTCCCGATAACGGTAGCAGCATGGCGGATAGAGCTTGGATGGCTGCAATACAAGTTATTGCAATATTACAGAAAGGACTGGACGAGAGTCACTTCCCTGACATGTGGACAGATACAGACGCAAGTGTTGCTGCCGAATACAGGAAAACCTCCGGGAGATCCAGCATCCAGGATCATCCTAAACAGGCTGGCGAAATGCACAGAGAGTGAGCACGGATTGTCGGAAAGGCAGATCAGATTCCGCAAAGGGAGATCAACGGTGGATGCAAGTCGGATAGTGGTCAAGAGAGCCGAGAAGGCGTCCAAACAGAAGCGGAGAGGAGATCGATATTGCGCCGTGATAACGATCGACGTCAATAATGCGTTCAACAGCGCCAGCCGAGAGACCATCGCCGAAGCGATGCATAGAATGGGGGTCGCTGACTACCTTTACAGGATGCTGAAGAGTTATTTCCAGAAATCAGGTTCTGGTCTACAGGACAGACATGGGACAGAGATCGATTAGAATCACAGCGGGAGTTCCACAAGGCTCCATCCTTGATCTAACGCTTTGGAACGGGATGTACAACGGCGTGCTAACGCTGAAGCTGCCCAAAGAAGTTGAGATCGTTGGCTTTGCGGACGACGTCGTCTTGACGGTAACAGGCGAGACGCTGGAGGAGGTGTAAGTGTTGGCGATCGAGGTGATCGACATGATTGGTAACTGGATGCAAGGAGCAAAGCTGCAGATGGCCCACCACAAAACGGAAGTGCTGTTGGTCAGTAACTGTAAAGCGGTACAGCGGGTAGTAATCACCGTCGGGGAGCACGCCATAGCCTCGACGCGCGTGTTTAAATACTTGGGAGTGATGATCGATGAACGGTTAAACTTCAACAGCCACGTCGAATATGGCTTTGAGAAGGCTTCGAAGGCCATCAACGCGATAGCTAGAATCATGCCGAACAACGCTGGTCCCAGCAGTAGCAAGAGGCGTCCTCTGGCCAGTGTTTCGTCGTCGATACGAAGGTATGGAGGTCCAGCCTGGGTTGCTGCGCTGGAAACGAAGCAGAACCAAAGGAAAGCAGCACGTTCCGGCTTATGGCCATGCGAGTTGTGAGTGCTTACAGAACCATCTCGTCAGAAGCTGTATGCGTTATCGCCGGAATGATCCCTATCGGCATCAACCTGGCGGAGGACAGCGAGTGCTACAGGCGAAGGTAAGCCGGAAGAGTACGGAAAGTGGTGAGAGCGGAGTCGTTGGGTAAAGGCTGACTAAAATTAAATTGGTACGCACAAAAAAACCTGTAATTCGTGATTCAACTAGTTTAAATAGTCCATTAATGGTTGCTTTACAGTACTTTTATAATAAATTAAAAGTTACAGCATTAGATGGTTACATTTCTACAGTTTGAACGAAATCTCGAACCTTCCTCTTGATGGAGCCCATCAGCGCCCGCACAGTGGAAACGGACACGGAATCAGTGCATTTCTTCCATTTTACCCGCATTTGCTGGAAGTCCTTAACTGCCCCACCGCTTCGTCGAAGGCACCGCTTTGAAATCGCCCAGTATTTTTCAATCGGTCGAAATTCCGGGAAATTTGGAGGATTCATTAGCTTGGGGACAAAATCGATCTAGTTGGCAGCATACCACTCCAAAACCACCTTGGAGCAGTGGCAGCTGGCCAAATCGGGCCAAATGATGACTTTGCCTCTATGATTGCGGACGAACGGCAATACACGCTTTTTCAGGCATTCTTCGATGTAAACTTGGGATGTCATCGTCGAGGATGTTTTCAGGCCACAACTGCAAATCGCTTGCCAATTCATGGCCTTCTTCGCGAACTTGTCGGAAAAAACACACACTTGAGTCTTCCCGGCACATGCCCACGTCCAGTTGCGATATAAAACTTTTGACCGGGAAGCTGCTTAAAATCGAGTTTGACGTATGTTTCGTCATCGATCAAAGTGCAGCCCCTGTGTTTTGTCAAAACACGGTGGTACAAGAACCTTGCAAGCTTTTTGGCCACGGAATTCGGCTTGATGTGCCGGTTCGAATGTTTACTGGCTTTGTACGAGTTGTATCCTTCCCTGGCAAGGATGTTCCACACCGTTTGAAAGTTGGCGATGCTCCTTCTGGCCACATCTCGGATCGACAGATCGGGGCTGAGTTTAATGCACCTCAACAACTTGCTGCGCAGCTGACGATCCCTGGTCCGCTGATTCCTTTCCACACTCAAGGTTTCCTTGTAGGTTTTGAGCACTCGACAAACTGTTGTTTCCGGCATCTTTAGCACTTTAGCGAGGAACCGGACCACTCCGAATTTTCCAGGTGTTAGTGCATTATATTTTTGTTTTGTTTTTGTTTCTAACGTTATTTCTGAACGCGATTGACTACTTTGATCAAGCTTGCACCAGTTGTTCTCTATAGAAGTGTGAACAAACCACTGTCATAGATTTTCGATTCCCAACACTAGAGGGCGTACCAATTTAGTTTTAGTCAGCCATTAAGTGGCAACAGGAGGGGAACACGGCGGAGAGCGGTAAATGGACACATACCTAGACTAATACCGATTCCTCCGACCTGGGTGAACAGAAAATACGGAGAAGTCAACTTCTACCTAACGCAGCTCCTATCTGGCCACGGCTGCTTCAGGAAATACCTGCATCGGTTCGGAAACGCAGCATCACCCCTCGGTGATGAAACTCCGGAGCCTGTGGTCTTCGACTATCCAAGGTTCGAATGGAGATGCCCGTCCTTATTGGGTTATGACACTCGGTCCTGGATCGAATGAAAAGTCGGTTTTCCAAGTGGTATGTATACCCTTCTTTGTAAGAAGAGTAAAAAACGATCGAAGTGAAGAAGGGGGTAATTAAGATTTTTTAATTAATTAAGTTTCTGATGGGATTCTGAGAGCTGGCGTTAAGGTGCAGTTTTTTTAACAGCAAGCGTCAGTGGCCTTCTTGTTTAAAAGCGTGCCAGCTGGATGTTTGCCCCTCTGGATGCAAGAATATCGAAGTAAGGATAATCTATCACAATTTAACTTTTAATTGGGTGAAATTGGACGGTTCGCTTTTAAACAGTGCAGCGTGGAAAGCTTTATGAACAAAATAATATTGTTCATGCTAATTGAAATGACTTTCCTGCTACAAGTCTTTGAACAAGTGCATATGAAAAAGTGGTGTGTTCCCATTGAGCGGGGATGTTTAAATTGTTTCAAGCTATGAAGATTATCTAGGATAATCGCTTGAGTTGTGAAATCTTACGAAGATCTAATGTGGAAAGAACAGAATTTATCCACAAACTGAGAGATCTAAACTTTCTACTCGGTCGATAAAATTATCTAATTCCACGATCAAGTACCAGAACATACAAATATCACAAAAAGGTGTAATGCGATAATTAATTAGCTAGAGAATGTTCTGAAGCGGAGAGATTGTTAGTTCCGTTAGAGTGCGGCAGTGTGAGAAAATTGAACAGAAATTGAAACTGAGCGAAGGCCATTAATGCGACAATATTAATAAATTGCGCACTCCTTTACCTACCTCACTCTTCGATGAGTGAAGGGATTTGAGGTATTTCCTGATTTCTTCTGGGAATTTTGTAGAAGTTGATTGTATTTTTTAAGTTTAATTACGTACGAATTCAGCAAAAAATTTAGAAGCTCAGTGAAGTTTGTAGAAGTTTAGGAAATTTCACAGAAGCTCAGGAAGTATTGTAAAGATTCAGTATACTTCTTAGATCTGCAGAGTTTGGTTTGGCATTTAGTTTCACTCAGATTTTTGGGAAATTCATAAAGAAGGTTCAAGGTCTTTCCTGATATTTGAAGATGGTCATGACTGTTCTGAGATCTTGGCCGTATTGTTAAATATTTCTTGAGAAAAAACATATGTACCGTAATAACCGGAAGAAGTTGATAAAACTTCGTAAGAGTTGAGTAAAATTGCAGTAAGTTAACATTAGGAAATTTTGCAGATGTTCAATGAACATTCGAGCAATTTTTTCACCCCTCTGGAATTTTTTGGTGAGCCACCTTCTGAATACAGGTGATCCTCAAATTAATTGATATTCGAAAACTGTTTTTGATAATAAAGACATATGTTGTTGAGCAAAGTTCAAGCTGAATAAATTTCAAACAACGTTGTTGAAAAACATTTTATCTATCTCTTAACATTCTCATTTTAGAGAATTTTTTTAGAATTGAATTAGGGCCTACCAGTTTTAAAAGGTGTTCGGTGCTCATCCCTACATATGTGAGCGTGTGCAAAATTTGTTTGCTTTAGTGACTTAAACACGAATATGAACCTGATGGTTTTTAAAATAATTCCTGAGCAACCTGGTACCATAGGAGAATATACGAGAGACGTGATTTTTATTATTGGACAGTAGAAGATCTTCAGAATAATTGATCCATCAGAAGTATTGTCAAAATATCCCGAGAAGCTTTTGAAGATCTCTGATCACCTGAAGATCTTTGGAAAAATTAGGAGTCATCTGGTTTCATGAGAGAATATCTGAAAGACATTACGTAAGCTGTTGGACAGTTTGGGATCTTCTAAATAGTATCTGATCAACCAGATGTTTTCATAATAAGTCGGAGACGAGCCAGCCAATGGCTGAAAGTCTCCTTAATAAAGATATATAAAAAAAAAAAAAAAATGTTTTCATAATAGTACCTTAGCAACCTAAAGACTTGACAAACTATGCTGAGTACTGAGTATGGAGATCTCTGATCACATGAAGAAAATCTATCTGATCACATGGAGAAAATATCTTAGAGATATGATTTGGATTGTTCATTATTTATGGAGATCGCTGATCACCTGAAGGTCTTTGAAACATATTCTGAGCAACCTGGTATACTTGATCAACTTGAAGACTTGAAAAAATATCATGAGAACATAGTTGAAGATGCTAATTTCAAATCACAGACTAGAGTGGTAATTTTTATACGATAGATGAGGAGATGAAAGTATAGAGTTGATAGTTCCGTTAGAGTACGGCAGTGTGAAATTGTGTATATAGAGAGTAGAAAGCGAGCAAGGACAAATCAGTTTGATCATCTCTCTTTACCAAACTCCCCCGTTGGAGAGGGATGGTGAGGGGTATTCCCCCCGCCACCGCTAGCTCTGTATATACAATTTCACATTGCCGTACTCTAATGGAACTATCAACTCTATACTTTCATCTCCTCATCTATTGTTAAGAAATTAACACTCTAGTTTGTTATTTGAAATAAGCATCTTCAACTATGTAAGTCGTTGACTTCACGCAGAAGTGATATAAAACAAATAGTTAAAGTATCATGAGAAGTTTTTGGAGTTATCTGATCACCAGAAGGTCTCTGGAATATATGCAGAGTCACCTAGTATCATGAGAAAATTTCTGGGAGATGTGATTTGAATTGTTGTAGAGTTTTAAAGAATAGTACCTGATCAACACGAAGTCTTGCAAAAAGTATCCAGAGGCAGCTACCACACTTGGACTCCACCTATCGACCCATCAACTCATGAACCGGGGACCCTTCCAAAGGAAGATGTGATCAGAGATTTTATGCCTCAGAAAATTCCGGCGGCGCCGACTGGGATTGAACCCAGGACTTTTTGGGGTGACAGACCACCCCAGAGGACTTTATGGAAATCTTAAAACACATGAAGGTCTTTGGAATAACTTCTAGGTAGCTCTAGTAGCAGGGCTGGTAGCGATCACTGCTGTCAGAAATAGTGATTTTAGTGACCATGTTGAATAAATAAGGATTTGAGTTGTAAAAATAGTGACTAAAAAGTGACCTAAGAGAAGGCACATCAAATAAATGTTAGATGTTTTAGACTTATTCAATTATTATCTCATAAACACTTATGTACGATATGAACCTTTAAAGTTAAAGATTCAATAGAAAATTAATAACCAAACCCACAGTATTAGTCACGGTGTCCACTAACTTCAATAATCTGGAAAACCGGGAATCCTCAGGAATTTTTTTGTTTCCTTAGAATACCTGGAAGTCTTAAAGAACTAAAAAAAAAATTTTACTAAAGATAATTTAAAGAAAATAAATGATTTTCATTCGCACTTTGAGCTTTAAAAATTCACAGTAAATTAATCTTCAGTAAGAAATAAATTTGTTTTTTTTTTTGTTTTTTGAAGACCAATGTTTCTTAAGTATTATAACCATTATTAACACTCGCTTCTCCCTGAACGCATCTATGCTTACCAGA